GTGGAAGGGGTCCCTGCCCGTGGTCGGAGCTGGAGGAGCTTTGAGGTCCCTTCAACCCAAACCCCTTTGGGATTCACACACGAGGTCCAGGACCGTACGGGATGTGCTGATCCCAACTGTTCCAGCCCCTTTGTGCCCTCACTCCTGTGCCTCCTCTCCTGGAACATCACAAGTGGCTCAAATGGGACCTGGGGGCCACTGGCAGGAGGTCCCTGAGCCCGGGGCTGTCACTGCCGTAGGGAAGGGCATCACCCGTGCCCAGCAAGGAGAAAGCTGCAGTGAGCACAGTGAGGCTCTGAGCACATCCTGGGGTCTTTTCCTCCTTGGTTTTGGTCCTTCCTTCACCCCCAAACCAGGAGCAGGGAGGACTCCAACCCCCCCCCCCCCCCCAGATCCTCCATCACCCCCTGGATGGCTGCAGGGTGGCAGCCAAGGGGTAGAGTCCCTAAAGCAAAGCTGAGTGAGGGCAGCAGGAACAGCCTCAAGGCTCTTGCTGGGGGATGATCCTTGTGTTTCAGCGTGCCCCGTACATGGAACCTCCTCTCCCCCCGTCCCATTATGGGCTCCAGAGCTTTATTGGTGGGAGGAGAAGGAGAAGGGCATCGGCCCCTAGGACAGGAGGGCGTTTCTTAGGAGCATCTTCTTGTTAGGTGTGAGCTTCGTGGGAAAGCAGATGTTGAAGTAGAGGAGGAGGTCACCCCTGCGCTGGGTGTCCCCAGGCAGAGGCATCCCCTCCCCTGGCACCACTTTGCAGTACTTGGGGCTGCAGAGCAAAGGAAGGGGCTGAGAGGAGCTGCAGGGAGATCCCAACACTGGCTCCAAGCCCCAACGGGTCCCTGTGGAGCCCCATGGCCCCTTCTATTGCTTCCCCTTCAACCCAACCCAGGGAGTCCCTGATTCTCCATTACCAGCAGCACAGCCCCATTACAGACACTGACAGGAGCCCACTGTGGGCACCCTCGGGCAGGCAGGAGCCCCCCAAACCTCCTGGAAAGCTGCTGAAGCACCCCAGTGATCCAGGCAGCAGGAACACATCAGTGCTGAGGCTCCTCCCAGTGCCCATTCACCTCCTTGGCCTCCGAACCGTGCAGGAAGGCCCCTGAGCCCAGCAGCCTTTTCCCCCTTGGCACTCACTCCACGATGTCATTGATGGGGATGTTCAGCAGCCTCCCATCCAGCGTCCTCACCTCCACCGTGCAGCCAACCAGTGCCTGCAGGGCACGGAGCAGGAGCTGAGCTGCCTCTGCTGCCCCCCACAGAGCCTGGTTCCAGGGCTCTTTACCTTCCCCAAGGGGATGGTGGCGACAAAGACGAGGTTGTCATCGGTTCTTTTGAACCTCGGGTGGGTTTTCTCCTGGACCACGAAGGTGATGTCAGCTGGAATGACGTTTGGGCCCTAAAAATGAGGGAGAGGGGAAGGAAAAAGGAGGCTTCAGTCAAAGACTCAGCAGGGGAAAGCAGGCATCAGGCAGAAATCCACCCCCTTTCAGTGATGCTTCATCCATCCTAAGGATAACCCAGGCAGGAAGGGCTCCTCGGAGCGCTGTGGAGCACAGTGACCCTGAGTGGCTGCATTAACCACGCTCCCAACTGCCCGTGGCACCAGGAGAGCTGGAGACGTGGCCCGGAGCTCCACACCGCAGGCATTACCTGGTCCCCTTCCTTCTCAAAGGTGATCCTGGTGCCCTGCTTCCAGCCCGGCTGCACGTCCAGGGTCAGGATCTTGTCCTTGATGGAGCTGGTTTGACCATCCTCGTTCATCACCTGGAGGGGGGGGGACGGGAAGAGGGGATCAGCGTTTGTGAGCCGGTACGGGCTCTGCTCGGCCACCCGAGCAGCCAGCACCGAGCACCGAGTCCGGCTGTGCTGGATCGGGACCCTGCAGTGCGGACACAGCCCTGCAGATGGAGCAGGGATCTCCGAGCTGCCACCGGGTCTGACAGCGCCACAGCCCGGGGTGGGTTGAAGGGAGCTTAAAGCTCCTCCAGCTCCAACCCCTGCCATGGGCAGGGACCCCTTCCACTGGAGCAGCTTGCTCCAAGCCCCTGTGTCCAACCTGGCCTTGAACACTGCCAGGGATGGGGCAGCCACAGCTTCTCTGGGCACCCTGTGCCAGCGCCTCAGCACCCTCCCAGGGAAGAGCTTCTGCCTAAGAGCTCAGCTCAGTCTCCCCTCGGGCAGGTTCAAGCCATTCCCCTTGGCCTGGCCCTACAGGCCCTTGTCCCAAGCCCCTCTCCAGCTTTCCTGCAGCCCCTTCAGGCACTGGAGCTGCTCTCAGGTCTCCCCTTCAGGAGCCTTCTCTTCTCCAGGCTCACCCAGCCCAGCTCTCTCAGCCTGGCTCCAGAGCAGAGCTGTTCCAGCCCTCGCAGCAGCTCCATGGCCTCCTCTGGCCTCACTCCAACAGCTCCACGTCCCTCTTGTGCTGCTGCCCCAGAGCTGGATCAGGGCTGCAGGGGGGGTCTCCCCTTCACGCAGCAGAGGGGCAGGATCCCCTCCCTGAGCTGCTGCTCACGCTCTGGGGGTGCAGCCCAGCACACGGGGGGGTTCTGGGCTCAAGCGCACACTGAAGCCGGGCCATGGGGAGCTCCTCCTCACCCAGCACCCCAAGTCCTGCTCCTCCAAAGGACGGCGCAGCTCCGGGTTCAGCCCTGCCTCGCCCCCAGCTTTCACAGCACCTCCTGTGCCAAGCTCCCTTTGCAGGAGCGGGGGGTTCCAGCCTCCCCCTTCACCCCACGGTCACTGCCCTGCGGGAGATCTTGATCTTCTTGGTGCAGCCATGGAACAGGTCTTCGAGGGACAGGTACAGATCCCTCACAACCGGCGGGTCCTGCTTCCTGGCTCCTCGGCCCCGCAGCCCCCCGAAGGGCAGGATCAGCTCTGAGCCATCCTCAGCGAAGAACTCTGTGTGAACAAGCAGAGGGGCTCATCGCACCTGGATCGGGGGTCGGGGAGCCCCTGGGGGTCTCCTATGGAGGATGAACCCCCCAAATACACCTCGAGAAGCAGAAACCTCCCATCTGCTTCTGCCTGTGACCACCGTCCCGCTCCTGCTCGTGGTTCCATCCTGCTCCCGTGTTTACGGCACCTCAGCAACCCCAAGCCCTCTTTGGGGTTGGGTTTGGGGATGGAAATCCTCCAGGACAAGGCTCACAACAGCCTATGGGGAGAGCAGAGAGCCTGAACTCACACCCTCAGGGCTCCCTCCCACCTGAGACTGGGGCCAATCAGGATCTAACCCCCAGGAACCAGCAGCACCAGAGTCACTGGGCAGGGAAACAGCCCCACAGAGCTTCAAGCTCTCGTGGTGGCCATGGCACGGTGGCAGCCACAGATGGGTCCTGGACCCCTCTGTGTACCTGCAAAGGGGTTGTCTCCACCAAAGAACTCCTTGAAGACTCTGTGGGGGTCGTTGTGGAACACGTATCCATCGCTCCAGGCGTTATCATCACCCAGCTCCAGGGGGATGCCACCTTTGAGTCCCTCTTCTCCAAACTTGTCGTAGATGCCTTTCTTCATAGCTTAGGGAACAAGGAGTTGGGAATCTCAGGCCAGAGATCCAGGTTTTACTTGGATAGAGGGGAAAGAGGGGGGGTCCCCACAACTCTGTGCCCAGCAATAGACCCCACTTGCAGCACTGGGTGCAGTTCTGGGGTCCCCAACATAAGGACATGGAGCTGCTGGAACAAATCCAGAGGAGGCCACGAGGATGAGCAGGGGCTGGAGCAGCTCCTGTATGGAGCCAGGCTGAGAACATTGGGGCTGTTGAGCCTGGAGAAGAGAAGCTGTGTGGAGACCTCAGAGCAGCTTCCAGTGTGTGAAGGGGGCTGCAAGGATGCTGGGGAGGGACTCTTCATCAGGGACTGGAGCAACAGGACAAGGGGTGATGGGTTCAGACTGAAAGAGGGGAAGTTCAGGTTGGAGATAAGGCAGAAGCTCTTCCCTGTGAGGGTGCTGAGGTGCTGGCACAGGGTGCCCAGAGAAGCTGTGGCTGCCCCATCCCTGGCAGTGTTCAAGGCCAGGTTGGACACAGGGGCTTGGAGCAAGCTGCTCTATGGAAGGGGTCCGTGCCCGTGGCAGGGGTTGGAGCTGCAGGAGCTTTAAGCTCCCTTCCAACCCAAACCCTTCTATGGAGGCAGCAGCCCCCAGCCTGGCTGCAGCAGTGATGGGGATGCAGCCACAGCCCCACCAGAGCCCTGTGTGTGTGTGTGTCGTCCCCCCCCCAGCTCTCAGCCCCACTTACGGTCGCTGAGCACATCGTAGGCCTCCGCCAGGTGCCGGAACCTCTCGGGGGCGCCGGGCTCCTTGCATTTCAAGGGGTGGCTCTGCAAGGCCAACCTCCGATAGCTGGAACGGGACAGAGAGCGGGGAACGCACCCTCCTGGCCGGGCCCGGCTACCACAGCACCCCTGCTGCGGGGAGGGCAGCAAAGCCCCGGGGCACACACAGAGTTCCCCATCCCCATCCCCACCTCCCGGCCCCCCCCCAGCTCCCCGGGTCCCCCCCCAAGGTCCCCTCACGCCTTCTTGATGTCGGCGGCGGTGGCTCCGCGGCCCAGCTCCAGCACCGCGTAGTAATCCTGCCCCATGGCGGCGCGCGTTGCCATGGAGACAGCGCGGCCGGAACTTCCGGTCCGTGCCCGCGCGGGGCATCATGGGAGTTGTAGTTCGCCGCTGCTGGTTTCGCCACCAAAATCCCCCGTTTTCACGGAAAACTCCTTTTCCACCCGGGTGATGTGAAAGCAGCTGCTTTATTTCAGTGCTCGCGGCGAGGCAGCACCCCCCTCACCCTCCCAACCCCATTCCTTGCTACCTTCTTCTCCTAGAAACGGTGATTTCCAGCAGTGAAAAAGGAATTGGTGGCACACAGACCCCTGCCCAGCGCCGGGGAGCCGCTCTCAACTACAGCTGTGCTGTCATAGGAAATACTCGTGTCCCAAAGCCCTCTCTCCGCAGGCTGGTGATCCCAGCGGCCTCCAAAACACCCACATCCCATCACAGGAAAACCAGCTCGGAGGAGCCCTTTTGGCTCTTCCCTCTGCTACGTGGTCGATCCAGGTGCTTACAGATTGGAAAGCTGGTATCTCCTCACTATCCCGTCTCTGCAGCACGTGTAAATCTGCTTCTCCCAGGAAGCTACCTGGAAAAGATGGGCGAAAAGCAGTACTGAAGCACAGTGCTTCCCAAGTAGCAGCTGAAACTCTCAGGGGTCAGTTTTCCTATAGAGGGAAGAGCTGAGTGACTTCTCAAGCAGCATTTAAAGGCCAGTTCAAGGTTTCCCCAGGAGGTCAGGGAGATGAAGTGAGTGCTCACACAATGTTCTCCTCTTAGATCCAAAAGGGAAAATGACTTTTTCCATGCTTTCCTCATGCCAACGAGTTGCGCAGGTCAAATCTATGCAAGGCAGAGGGTTAATCTTGGGGGGGGGGGGGGGTGCCAGCTAGGAGTGGGAGAACTGCACTGTGGAGCAGGAATGGGTTAAACCAAGAGCTAATTCCCACCAGCACCGCTGGGTTGAGCTCAGGGATCCCTGAGCAGCACAGGCGCAGTGGGGAACGCAAGGATAAGACCTAGTTTCTGGTCTCAAGTCACCAGGGGACAAGAAAGGACAGGCAGCACCACGCTGCTGCTTTCACCCTCTTGATCTTCTCAGTATAATTAATTCACATTCTTTATAGAAACACCATTCTACAAGAGTACTCCAACAACCAGGCTCCTCCACTGCTTCAGGTTGGCTCCTGCGTGATGGAGATAACACCAGCAGAGCTGTATATGCAGAACGTAAGAGATTATTCAGGCAGGAAGAAACCACTAAGCTTAAAAGTGAGTTTTATGAAGGAACGTGTTGTGAGGGCTGCCAAATTCCAAGATAAAGGCAGCTCGTGCTACCTGGCATCGCCTTTCCTTACAGCTGGGGTAACACACTGTAGTCCTCACCTTGTACACAGGGTCGCAGTCAGCTTCTGTGAGATCCAGGACGTAATCGAGGTCTTGCTGAATGATAAAGCAGGTTCCATCACCTACACAAGCAGAACACACCAAGCATGAGGAACACTGGGCAATCAGTGCAATAAGCCATGCTCTTGGTTACAAACAGGTCCATCAAAACACCTGATCACAGGGTATGAAGCCCATAGCAAGAGGGAAACGTTGTGGGGATAGGAAAAGGCTCCGAGGGTTGAGGTGCACCTTGGAAGCCCTATTTTGGAAGAACACAAGGGAGATGGAGGATGGAAATCACAAGGCAAAAAGCAACCACATAACATAGCTCCTACAACATCACCTTTTTGCCATGGGCATTGTCCAGCCCTCTCCTACAACCACTTGTATGCCAGAGGGCAATACTCAGAGAGTACAAAGCTCCTCCATTCC